GATCATTTACCCTTTGATTTATATAAATTATAAATGAATGAACAATTGGATAAAAAAGAAGTTATTTTCTATTGAAATATTAAAAAGAAGTTATCTTAATGTGTGGATGTCCAATTTTCTGTCTCTTGCAAGAATATTTTTTCTGTTAATTTAATTAAAGAATGTATTCCTACAAAATGCACTCATGAAACATATTCATGAGTAACTGAATGATAGCAAATATTGTGAATGAAAAGTCCTTAATCTAGCTACCTATAAAAGATATGTTCATATATATATAAAAAGATCTCAGCAAGTAAAAACCAAGGTTATCAATACTTTGTTATATGCATGAATCACATAATATTTGTGGAGTTTGTAACAGCTCTAATGATCTAATATGAAAAAAATAAAAAATAATGCACTTATTTAATTATATGACATGATAGATCAAAAAATAGATATCATTTTGTTTTCATTTTCCCTGTCTTTATTTCTAACAAGAAGCTGATTAGTGGAATGAACTCTTAAAGGCAGAGTGTTATGGCAGATTTTGATTGTTATTTTCTAAAATAATTTCATATTTAGTTTTCATCTTTTGTTATATACAACTATCTAAAATTTAGGAATTTCACAACACTGTACTGATTTTACAAAAAAGACAATCTGGTTTTAGGTTTTGTATATTAATATATATTTCCTTTCTAATGACCAGCTTTTCAAAGGGTTTAATTGGCTTTTAAGACCATATTAACACTGATAATAAAGTCGCATTTTTCCTTCTATAAGAGAGTAATCTTTTCAAATTAAACTGTATGTGTTTATTTACCAGAATTAAAAATAAACATTAGAACTGATTTAATTTCAATGTTGGTTTACTATTTACAAAACCAGCTGTTCAAAATTAAACTGGTTTTCATAAAATATAACTATATTCTATGTTGGGTAGTAAGAGAAATGTTTGTATCATGATTAAATAAAAGCTGTAATTTTGCTTATAAAATAAAATGATCAAATGAATAAAAAGTAGTAAAATAACAACAAATAAGAAAACTGTTAAATTATGTCTACATAACATAAAAAATACAGTTATTCCAAGTTACTAATTTAAATACATAATATACATACAAAAATGCATTGGAAATTTTTTTTTTAGTAAACCATTTGTAATGAATTCTGAAATAATGTCCATAAAACAATAGCATAGACAATTCTTGGCAGTTATACAAGATTAAGTGATAACATGAAACAATACAAGGATATGTAAAACAACAACTAAAATATACACACTAACAATTTGTAGACTAATCAGATACAAATTCAGAAAATACAAGGCATGCATTTTTCTGAAGTGACATAGTGGTACAAGGAAGTTGCTGAAGTTAATTTCATTACAATTTGTTTGGAATTCATCAACAAAGAAGACAAAAGAAATATGAAATGTTATATGAAAAGATATATGGTAACATGCATCAGTTTAAAGAAAAATTAATGTTTAAACATTACACCCAAAGGCGGTCATCCTGTAAAATGGACATTAAAGAACACAACAACAATCAACAATTAATTGATAAGTCAGAGATAAATGAAATACAAATAGTTTCTCTAATTCTTGAAAATGCTTATAAAAGTTTTGGCCAGATTTTATTAGAATTTAAATATACTCTAAAAACAATTACCTACTCTTTTTTGTGAAATGTGATTAACATAAAATTCAATTTTTTAACATTTGTTATTAGTTATTAATAAAAGACTTTTTGAAATGAATGAGAGTTCTTTTTAATGATAGGTTATAATAATAATAATAGTCCAAAATTTAAAAGTATAAAAATGAAAATAACCCAAATTTTACTTTAGAAACATTAAAAAACATTAGGAAAACTTAAGGATAAATAATTTTGTGTCTAAACCAAATGTTATCACAAAAATATTTTTATTATTTAAAATTTATTTACTTTAAACAAAAATTTGTAATGTCATCATTCATTCAAAGCATTTAAGAAATGTTGATATAAATGGATAGAAGCTGTAGTTTAAGACAAACAATATGAAAATATCCTGTTAAGAAAAACATATTTTTTCCAAAACAATCAAAATCTGAATCAACTGATTTTAGGTTGAAAACAATTTACTAATGAAATAAAAATAACCATAAAAGTATAATTTTATAATTAAAGTAATATAAACATTTAATAACATTTAAATGGGTTATACTTTTCAAAAATCATTGAATTTCAATTCTTTTTTGTAAATATCAAGACTATTTTCAGTCTTTATGAAAGTCTAACATTTTATCAATAAATTATCCTATGTAAACAATATGTAGATAAAAAGCATTCATAATAAATCAACTATTAAAATATGACATTAGACAAAATTATAAAGTTTATTTTTGTAAACAGAGTATCAAAAAGCTTTTTTTAACGAAATTATCCATAAAGTTCTGGAAACAATTAATTTAATCATAAATTATAAATTAGAGTTTTTATTTTTCACTGAACAAGTCAAAAGGAACATATCTGTTTAATAAATTTTGGAAATTATTTGTTTATAAATACCTTTAATACAAAATATTAATATAACAACCCCACAAGAAAGCAAATTATAACTAATAATCAGTAAATCAAAAGCATGATTTTAAGTCTGGGACATTACAATCAGTAATTCTCAAAACATCAAGAGTAATAAAAAATATAGTTTGTCTTTTTTTGTTTACAAGGTCTTGAATGGTTAATATGTATATAAAGATTAAAATATATCTTATATTTATGATAAATAAGCACTGAATAAAGATTTTGCTGGCAGTTACTAAAACAAAATATATCTTTATATATGACTAAAAGAATTTAAACTCGGATTTTGTACTTAAAAATGCCTTCAACAGATTTAAGTATGAACATCAACATTTTCATAAACATATATAAAATACTTTTCATAAATACACATACTGCATAATATATATATATATATATATATATATATATATATATATATATTATACATGCAAGCAATATATAGCACTGAGAAAATTCACTATTGCTCTAACAAACTTCATCAGCATATATATATATATATATATATATATATATACAAAGAGACAAATAAAAATGTTTATTCTACTTTCATCTATGCTTATTTAGCAAATCAAAATTTAAATAGCATCTTTAAAATGTTTTATAAATATAACATGAATAAATGCAATGAAATACAGCAATGGCAAAATAAGAATTAATACATTAAAAAAAGACAATAAATTTTATGAAAACAAGAAAGAGAAAACTACAGCAATAACAACAGCAATAATATTAATAAAGTTCCGGTCACTGACAGCTCTAGGAATCAAAAATTATTTTCATATATATATATATATATATATATATATATATATATATATATATATATATATATTAATAAAAGAAATAAAACCTGCGTAACTTTTTCACCAGACAAGGGCAAGAACTGGTCACCATAGAAGTAGAAGCAAAAAAAAAAAAAACGCAAAAAAAAAATCTTTGTTTGTATGTGTGTAACTGGAATATATTAGTGCCACAAGCAAATAAATAACTAAACAAGCAAAATGTTTGTGCATCTGGCAAAAGAGATAATGATCATGGATTCATCTTCTTACTATAAGTATTAGACAGCTAATGAGGCATTTAGATGTAAGAGACAGTACCATTAGTGGGTATTAGTATTGAGATTAGTAGATACTATGACTACTATAACAAGACACAGCTCTCTCACATGCACAAAGAACAGTAAATACTATAAACAATGTAAATATACCAGAGGCATAATTCATAACTGGATGGAAATGACAAATTTTGGGGAAGTTAACAACTTGGTTCACTTTGAGAAAAATGGAAAACCTTTAAGAATAACTTTAGCATGAAGGAATATGGAAAAATGGTTGGCCCACCATGAATCTGTATAAAGGTACAACAATTATTTTATGAAAATTAGAATAAACTGGTAAAAAAAATATCACTGTATAGTCTCAAAACAAAAAAAAGATCAACTAAAATTTTAAACTGTGTATTTATTTGTATACTTCTCCAATGGATATATTCAGAAGATTTTATTTTCATTAATAAGAACACTCAAATGATGGTGCCTAATATTTTCCAACATCAAGCATCTAAAATGTATTCTCATAGAAAACAATTAGTATAATAATAAAAAGGGGAGAAGAGGAGTTAAACACTCTTAATTCCATCTTATGTCTAGTTTCTATCAAATCAAGTCCTTACTATGATAGCAGTGAATTAAATAATCTCGACACATGCAACTCTATATTATAAAAATGAATTTACCTTGTGATAAATTAGATGTCTAAACCTTATAAATCTATATTTGTATGATTTTAATAGGACATAAAAAATTTGCATTAAAATTGTTAAATTTAAAGTACAACTTTATTAAATTTTAAATTCTTTTATTTAAAACTAAAAAAGAAAAAAGTATTTAGTTATAACTTTTTCAATCCAGCTATGAAGTGCATATTGAATAATATGGTTGTGTGATATAAATAATAACTAGTGTCTGAACAGGTGTGAAATGATCCACAAATGTTCTATTGTGAAAAAAGACCACATCAAAATTGAAGGAAGTAAAAGGGCAAAGTGATATAAAGTGTAAAAATTTAAAAAAAAAAATCAAACTATCATTAATATTTTTAGATTATTAAATATTAATAACAGAATTAACTATGAATTATGATGGGAACATTCAGTGAGATGAAAATTTAAACTGTCCTTGGCAATCAAATGAAGACAGGTTAGTGATGGATCAGGTGGACATAGGATAGGTTGGACAAAAGCAAAAGGCAGGGTATATGTGTATGTATATATATATATATATGATAGGTAAAATGGATTTGATATTAAAAATGGAAATGGGAAGATTTGGTCAGGTTTTTCTAGTAGCAGTAGTAGTAGTCATTATTGTGCGTGAATTTGTATTTTTTAAAAATTTTTTAGGTTTTATTCTAATTAGTGCTAAGTACAAAACTCATTTAACACCTGTTATCGACAGGATGTTTCCAGGTTGTCTTTTTTGTGGAAGAACGGGAGCTTGGAGATAAGCCAGACTGGCGTGGGGTGGCAGAAGCTGATGACAGTAAAGCGCTATCTTGCGAGGAGCAGGTAGGATCCACATTTGCGCAGCTCTCCGATGATCTAAGACAATGAGAGGGACGAAAGAAAGAAAGAAAGAAAAAGAAAAAAGAAAAAGAGAGAGTTTATTTCACACAGGTTCAATAATCATTTTACATACATGACATAACAATTGGAATAAGGCACATTACACTGTATAACACACTTCCAGCATCTTGTGTTTACCTAACATATTGTCCAACCTGTTTTATAGAAAAATTTTGGCAATTTTCTTTTTCAGTGCTTTTCCTTTTCTCCATCACCATACACATTCTCTGTCACAAATGCTGTTCCAAATGACACAAGTTATCATTTCATATCTAAATCTGTACTATTTTCATGCCTAAATCTGTACTATTTGTCAAAATAGGATGGTACCACTGTATGGCATCATTGTCATGGAAGAACAATTTCAATAAAATGAATGAAATTTATACACTTTTTAAAATAATAAAATATTTTATATATATATATATATATATATATATATATATATATATATATATATATTGTATACATACGTATATATATATATATATATATATATATATATATTGTATACATACATATTAAAACCACTACCACAACTGACTTCACCAAAGGATACATTGACGGCCCTAATCATACATATATATATATATATATATATATATATATATATATATATATATGGGGGGTGCTTAAGTGTAGGTTATGTTTTTTGTTACAACATATTCTATTTCACCTGTTAATTTTGTAAGAATAAATATTCTAAAGTTTTATCAGAAATTTCAAAATATTTTCATTTTTATAAGCAAAATTTGATATATTTTTAATTTACTTTGTCTAATAAAGATAATCTGTTATTTTTATGTTATACAGATAATACTGTTGTTTTTATCTTATACAGTTTATTGATATCGCATATTTGTAAACAGAAATCTATATTATTTTAAAACTATAATACAAAATATTTTTAAATATTATTTTTAAAACTATTATGCAATCATCATTATTTTAAAACTATAATACAATAATGATTCCTACTTGTATATATGCAAATCTTTTATTTTCTAAATTAATGTTGCTTGCTATATGCTTTTTTAATCATTTCGAATACTTTCTCTTAATCTTTTAATTGTAAAAATATGACTCCATTTTGCTTACAGAGGCCCTCACTTCATAGCTTCCTAAAAACCAAAAGACAATATCCAGACAAATGTTTTCAGAGTTCTAAATCTTTATTTTTTTATTTCAAAACTTCAAATTGATCTAAAGAGACACAACAAAAAATTAGATACTACTATTTTATTCACATTTTATAGTTAATGAAAATATACTCATTGTCACAATTTATTATAATAAAAACCAGCAGTATAAGAATTATCATATTTCGAAATGAGATGTATGTTGGTCAATCTGAAGATGTGCCAATGTTAAGTACCATTGATATTGGGACTTTCACTTTCAGTTGTGAACTTTGTATACTTCCCTAATGAAAGAAAAGAAACTTGTTTGTCCCATTCATGACAACCTACGCTATGACAATGAACCTCAATTGCAAGGCAACATGTATGGTAGAGCTTGACCAAATCAGCATAGATGGCCATGATGGTATCTTTACAAACATGTTTTTTTTTTCTAATTGTAATAAAAGTAGTAAATGGCTTTGAAATTTACTTCAATATTTCACAATAAATCTTCATGATTATTTAATCCTTGTTTTGACATTTATTTTAGTCTATCTTTTGTAAGTAGTCATTGCAGCTGTGTCAAGTGACAAATGTGACAGATTGTGTCCAAATACATAACAAAATGTCAGTATAGTATCTTCATCACATGGAGTAGCCAAAGTAAAACTACGTCTTAAACTAGTCAACATTCTTTAGAAATATCAGTTGGAAAAATATTGGAATTTTGGTTCATTGTTATCAGTCATTATATTTAAACAATTTTCATGTAACAAATGAATATATTAGTATGAAGATTGGCTCTCCAATAATTCTGTTTGTACTCTCCTTTCTAATGTGGTAGATTTTTGTCTATTGGGCAGTGACCATTCAATGCTCTTGCATTGTATGGGGTAATTTAAATACAGAAAACTATGTATCCATTCTACAGGAAAGACTTATTCAAATATATATTGGTGCATATTTAGATAAAAATTTGGATGATGGAAATAGAGGAAAAATACTTTAGAATTATAAATTCTATAAATTATTTGGCGATAATCATAGCTAAATGAATTTCCTGAAATGAATCCTATTCATAAAGATGCTTGTTTAAAATAAAGGTATCTATTTATTTTTATCATGATGCTTGTTTAAAAATAAAGGTATCTATTTATTTTTATCATGACTCTGTACTTGTTGCCTCACAGTACTTTGTTAATTTAACATAAATTATTTTGTATTGGGAAACAGAAAATGTCTAAAGAATCCTCCCTAAAAGAAAATTCATTTAATGTTCTTAATACAGTTAGATAAGATATTAGACAATAGAATGCAGCAGATCTAATAAATTGAAAACTTATAAAAAAAATCTTTAAAATCATGGTAAATCCACCAATTTTTATTTTTTATAATATTCTTGAATTAGTCAATGAATAAAGATGCTTGTTTAAAAATAAAGGTATCTATTTATTTTTATCATGACTCTGTACTTGTTGCCTCACAGTACTTTGTTAATTTAGTTAAATCTATATATAATAATTATAAAAAATTTCTAAGGAAAACCTATTGAAAACAGAGATATTTTAATGACAGTTTCTTTTCAGAATATAATAATATAAATAGTTATGCCACTTTTATGGGTATCACTGTAATAAAGTGTTGAAACAGTTTATTATAATAGCACCCATTAACCCATTTTCACTTTTATAATATCTAGATTGTGTTTCTACTTTAAAATCTTAAGGAGGTAAATTTCTGTAGGCTCTCTTCAGCACAAAACCTCAAATAGGAAGTTTTGATAGTTAAGCACTTGGCTATTGATACAAAACTATCTTCCTTGTTAGTAACTTAGTGACAGAAACTATCAATTTTATGGCATGTTTATGATGATGTTCATCATCTATTGTCTGCTAAACAGTAGCCATCTTCACTCACTTATTTTTCTCTCAAATAATATCATTGTAATGCAGTTATCTCATCTTGTGACTATAAAAATCATCTTTTGATAATGAAATGCTTTATCAGATCACATATAGATGGTTTAGTGTATCCAATATGCTATTCTGATTTTTGACTGATCCTTAACTTTGGCAAGGATGCTAATTATTGTCTAATATGTTTTCTGTTCTAGAGAGCTACATGAAAATGAGGATCTTTTTAATGACTGTGGAATGCGCTATTAGTGAGAAAAGAACAGGAACTTCAGTGAAAAATGTAATGACAAACTTTGATCTAAGCAAAACTGATTAAATCTGAAGTTGATTTCAAAGAAAAGTTTTGGAACAGGTATTTCTTGTTCATGTTGGCCATCATATCCATGATGGAACTCAATGAGTCCTTGGGAACTACTTGTTGGTTTCCCTCTTGATAACTTCAGATATATTAGACCAGAAGACTCAAAGCAGGAATGCTAGCAGGCTGCATACATTGAGGTGTATAGTATGATAGTGAAAATTTTCAGCCACCCACTGCTGGATCATATTGGTCAGTTTAGTAGGATGCAAAGTTCTAGTGGAACACTTACAGCCTCCTTGATCCACCATGTCCTTCACCATGGTGCAGGCAGAGGCTTTGATCCTGCGGAAGAAATAAAGAAGCATAACAGTGTTCCTCTTTTTCAGAGAAAATGTAAACTTGATGTGCATCATGAATACCATCATGCATGTCCCCACAAAGCTGCCTAATATTGTAGTTAGTAGCTGGGTTTTTCATTTTCTGTGTCAAATTGAAATATGCTATGTTAATGCTCTTGATACATTTACAAGAAAAATGAAAATGTTAACATTAGGGCATGCTACGTTACATTATGTTAGGTACTCTTTCATTTATGGCCTGCTAAAGGTATGTTCTCAAATACCAGCTAAACTTGGTGTTTGTGTGTGTGTGTGTAAATGCAGCATAAAAAGCAACTGTCAGAGGGTAGGTAGTATAAAAGGTACTAATTTTGTGCCTACATTTAGTAGGACAGGTTATTGAATAATATCTGAATTCTAAAAAAACCTAACTTGGAAGAATGCAAGTTGGCTGAAGTTCATCCTGAATGAAACTGACAGTTGCACACTTATTCGATTCTTGTGTTTTTAATTCATTTTCACTGATACAGTCGATATGGCTTTTTAACAATGAATAGTGATTTTTTTATGATATAGCAAATGACATTTAAAAATTTAAAAGTTTAATGTTCTTATCATCATTACTATTATATATATATATATATATATATATATATATATATATATATATATATATATATATATAATCTTTTATATAGAGAGAGTGTATCAAAAAATACTTTTACAAACTTTGGGAAGGAGTTCTTATACCAAAACATGGACAAATGTTTGCAAATCCTTTGTCTTTGAGTTATTAAGTTAAAAGAGTGGTTATGGTACATGGTTATTTTTGTCATTCATGTACATTTGTGGCTAGTCTGTCTTCAATTTTTAATGTGTGTTGTAGTTAACTGAGAAGTGTTCTGTTTAACAATGGCAGGATATTCATATTGTGAGCAAGCAGATATGATTTTTACATACAGCCACATGAATGGTAATGGACGTGAGGCTGCACGGTTGTATCAATCAGATTGTGTTTCCAGACTGAAGGCAGTTCAGTCTTCCAACCTTTGCTGCTGCTGCTGCTGCTTATTGTCACATTGCTGAGACAGGATCTATGTCACCACAAACTATGGTCCGAGGAAGACTGAGATTTGTTCATATGCCTGGTCATGAAGAACACATTTTACAGGCTGTCAGAGATGATCCAAATATCAGTACACATCAAGTGGCCCTAGCATGTTGTACATCACACAGTAATGTATGGTGGTTACTTCAAGAGAAGCACCTTTATCCATATCATTTGCAATGTGTAGGGTCT